TTTGCTCTCTTCTTCACTTCTGACACTAGAAGACCATTAAGTGTATCTTAAATGGCCACTTGAAAGCTTTTAAGACCCCAGTTACTACTCACCAATGTAGGATGAGCAACAACAAGGCTTTTATGTATTTTGTTGTACCATTTGAGTCTGGTGTCCCCCAGTACTATGGTCCTGAGATGGTAGATCCATTAGATTCAGCGCAGGCTAATCTTGCACAGATACCAGTGATATAAAATACCTGCAATCCTTACAGAAACAATAGAAGACAGACACAGAGCAATCCCTCGCAGACACCCAGACACTATGGCAAAGAGTACCTAAGCTCTTATGAAGTTAATATAGTTCCTTGGTCAGTAGACATTTCACTCACCTTCCATCCATTCTCTGTCCACACCCAAAAATTAAGTTACATGTGGTTGAAAGACACAACACTGAAGAAGTCAGGAATCTGATATCAGATACCTTGTGGTTGGTTTACCGAGATTTAGTCCTTGAAACAGTCTCAACTCAAGTATACTTAATTGGATACAGAACTTCTGTGCAACTATAAAGCATTCTAGCATTATAATTCTATATATCTCATCACAATGGACCTAACACTCTCCTTATAACTAATATTAATTTCTACCTATATCCCAGTTCTTATTTGGAAGGAAGGTTGGGCAATCAACTTCCGTAGTGACACTGCTTCGGAAACCCAAGGAAGGGTCACTATGAGTCAGGTCTGATTTGATGGCACATAACAACAACATTCTAACATTGTGGGCTTCTAATTGAATACATATTATAAATTATTTGTTAAGAATAAATTGAATGTGAGCCATATATCTGATAAGGGTTTAGAATATATGAAAAACTCTAATAACATAAAGAGACAAACAACCCTATGAAAAAATGGGCAAAGGAATTAGACAGATGATTCACCAAAGAAGATAAACAAATGAAAAGATGCTCCATGTCATTAATCATTGTTGTGTGTGTGCCATTGAGTCGATTTCAATTTACAGTTATCCTGTCGGATAGAGTGGAACTGCCCCCAGGGTTTCCTAGGCTGAAATCTGTATAGGAGCAGATCTCCAAGTCTGTTCTTCTGTGGAGCAGCTGGAAGATTTAAACTGCTGACCTTTTGTTATCAGCTGAGCACTTAACCATTGAGCCACAAGGGCTCCTCTCAGTAGTCAGTAGGAGAATGCAAATCAAAACTATAGTTAGATACCACATCACCCCTACTAGGATGGCTATGATTAAAAACAAAACAACAACAAAAAGGACAATAACAGGTGGTGTTTAGGATGTAGAGAAATCGCAATACTCGTCCATTGCTGGTGGGAATCCAAAATGGTACAGCCACTGTGGAAAACAATTTTAACAGTTCCTCAAAAAGTTAAACATAAAACTATCATATGACCCAGAAATCTCAATCCTAGTTATATATCAAAAAGATTTGAAAGCAGGAACATAAGCAGACACTTTTATAGCAATATTCATTATTGTATATTCACAGTAGCCAAAAAGTAGAAACAGTCTAAATATCTATCAGCAGATGGATGGATAAACAAAATGTGGTACATACACATAGTGACATTCTACCAAAAAGACAAATGAAATTCTAGTACACACTATATACAACATGGATGAAGCTTGAAAACATTATGCTGAGTGAAATGTAGTCAGTCACAAAAGGACACATATTGTATGACCCTACATATATGAAATAGGCCAATATATAGAGATCAAAGTTTAGTACTTCATGAACTAATTAACCTGTGTTTTGAGGGAAGGGGAAAGGGAAGTCGTTGCTTAGGGGGCACACAGTTTCTGTTAATGGTGCTGGAATAATTTGGAAAGGGATAGCAGTGATAGTTGCACAGCATGATAAATGTAATCATTGTCACTGAATTGTACGTGCAAAAAATGTTGACTTGGAAAATATTATGTATATATTTTTTATTTTTTTTTTTTGTAAAAAGGTAAAGAACACATTTGCCAGTTCAACATTTTACATGTGTATAATTTAATCACAACAATCATGTTACATATACTTCTACCACAAAAATAACAATGAAAATAAAGTAAGATAAAGAAGTAATGTTGTTGTTATTTGCCATCGAGTTGGACCTGACTCATAGCGACCCCTCTTTGGGTTTCCAAGGCAGTATCACTGTGGAAGTGGATTGCCCAGTCTTCCTTCCAAGGAGTGGCTGGTGGGTTTGAACTGCCAAACTTCTGGTTAGCAGTCAAGTGCCTTAGGCACTATGCTACCAGAGCTTCT